TGAATTTTTGTAATTAATTGTATACTCTTCTTTTATCTATGATTGTACCCTGTTTCTATAAAATAATTTATACAAATTAATAACATGGGAATTTTAGAGAAAATTTCGGAAATTGAAAAAGAAATTGCTCGCACCCAGAAAAATAAGGGTAAAGTTAAAAGATAACTTAAATTGTCATTACATATGCAATTTTAACGAAATTAAAAATATTTAGCAACTGAATACCATTTGGGGCTTCTGAAAGCTAAACTAGCTAAATATAGATCGCAGTTGTTAGAACCTTCCAAGAAGGAGAGAAAGGAGAGGGCTTTGATGTGTTGAATCTGGTGATGCTCGAGTGGCTCTTATTGGATTTCCTTCAGTAGGGAAAGTATGTCTCATATTTGAATTATATATCTATATATATATATATATATATATATATGTATATGAATTAAGTGGTGTGTATAATGTTTTCTAGTCGACGTTGCTTTCAACTTTAACTCACACGGAAAGTGAAGCGGCCAGTTATGAATTCACTACTTTGACATGTATTCCCGGAGTTATAGAATACAAAGGTGCTAATATTCAGTTGTTGGATTTACCTGGAATTATAGAAGGTGCATCTCAGGTATTACATAAATTGAGCGTTTGATATCATGCTATACTTTCTATATTTAAATCTTTATTTTAATCTACATTCATAAATAATTACTCAATTATTATTAAAAGAATTAACAAATTTAATTAATTTATTATAGGGTAAGGGTCGAGGAAGACAGGTTATTGCAGTTGCACGTACAGCAGATCTTGTTCTGATGATGCTAGATGCGACAAAGCCATATGTTCATAGAGAATTACTCGAAAAAGAATTGGAAAGTGTGGGAATTAGACTCAACAAAACTAAACCAAATATATATTTCAAAGTAAGCCTTAATTTCTTTAAAATAACTTGGTTAAAAAACAAAATGAATTTTCAATTTAGACCAAAAGCTAAGTTTTAATATTATATTCTCATTCATATATGTATATATGGAGATTATAAATAAGATATGTATATATATATATATATATATATATATATATATATATATGTTTGTATGTATGTATATATCCATATATACATGCATATGCATTTCTGAAAATATTTTGTTTGCCATTGAATTGTATTTCTTAAAACTATATAAAATTATTCATAATTTTGCACATTTAATTCTCTTATAGGTGAAAAAAGGAGGCGGGGTATCTTTTAATTCTACCTGTACTTTAACGAAAGTGGATGAAAAACTTGTTCAAATGATATTACATGAATATAAAATATTTAATGCTGAGGTTTTTAAACTTATGATTTTACTTACTTATAATTATTATTCAATGAATATTTTTTAATTAACAATCATTAATTTTTAATGTTAGGTGCTATTTAGAGAAGATTGCACAGCTGATGAATTAATTGATGTTATATCAGCTAATAGGGTTTATTTGCCCTGTTTATATGTTTATAACAAAATTGATCAAATTTCTATTGAAGAAGTAGATCGAATAGCAAGACAACCTAATAGCGTTGTTGTCAGGTACATAAAATATAGTTTTGATATAGAATTATTAGTATATTTTGTTAATGAAACAAAAGTTGAAAGATCTATATAATTTTCTTTGACTAAAAAATATTTTTAGTAATAAATTTCTGTATATTTTCTGTAAAACTTATCTAAATTTTAATTGGTTTTAATCTTAATATATTAAAATGTATCAATATAAGTTTGTTAATTTTAGCTCAGTAAAATTGAATTTCTACTACTTTTTTCAGTTGCAATATGAAATTAAATCTTGATTATTTACTGGAAATATTATGGGAATATTTATCATTAATCCGAGTGTATACGAAGACCTGGTCACCACCAGACTTTGATGATGGCCTTATTTTGAGAAAGGTAAATTATTAGTTTTTATTATTTTTCTTATCAATAGCTTTTTTACAATTACAAAAATTTACTTTTAAACATTATAATTCAATCGAATGCAAAACAATTTTATTTTCAAGGGTGTTAATGTTGAGCATGTATGTCACGGAATACACAGAACTTTAGCAGAAGCATTTAAGTATGCTTTAGTTTGGGGAACTTCTACTAAGTATTCTCCGCAAAGGGTTGGTATCAGTCATATAATGCATGATGAAGATGTTATCCAAATTGTAAAAAAATAATAATTTTATATATTATTATGTATAATTGTTAAATATATCATGCATTTGTTATATACATTCTGCCTATTATAGGTCTACTTAAGAAAAATTTCTTTATTATCATTATCTACTATTTCTAATTCTAAAAGAAGTAGATAATAAAAATTCAAATGTACTTTTAATAATATGAATTCAAGAGTACTTTCTGCACATTCCTAGCAATTATTATTGCACAACCTAATTAAATTTCTCATATTCTCTTCTGCTTCATCCATCCTTCCTTTCTATTGTTATATCCATGATATATAATTACATATTACAAAGAGATTATCAAATTTTATTATTCTGATTTACATTAATATTGACCTAAATTTGAAACAGTAAATTTATTTTATAAGATTGAATCAATTCACTTTGTATATTTTTTAAACAGTTTTGTGATTAACTGTAGGTTCTTTGAATGGCAAACTGGTAACACAAATAGCTGTACTTAAATCAGCTGAATTGCCTTCTTTAAATGCTTTATAATCCTGAAACATGTCTCTAAAAGCAATGAAATCGGAAAAAGTAGACAATACTTCGAACACTTCACCTTCTAACTGCTCTTGTTTTATTTTTTTTCTGAAAATATAATTATTTTTAAATATGGATTATATATGAAACGTTATGTACTAAATAAGTTTAATCAGTTAACAATGTTAACACATAATAATGTTAACAGATATATATATATATATATATATATATATATATATATATATATAAATTATGCACATCAAATTCAGTGATGATTGTACGTACTCCAGTTGCATTATGAAATTATCCATGTCAAATCCTGGATATTTTGCATTCAGTTGGCCCTCTATGAATTTTTCTATTTTATTAACATACTCATTGAATATTGAAGTATATTCTAATTTGTTTTCAGAATTATCATCAAATTGTATATAATATTTTTCCATAAAGTTATTCAACATCATCTAAAAATAATCAATCATTTTATTTAATATTACATTTTTATAGTAAACAATTAATTACAAAATTCTATATATAAAGCATATAAATGAAAGCATTAAAACCTGAAATTCTTCATCCACAATAATATCTTCAATGGTGCCAATAATTTTATCAAAAGTATCTTCAGATGTAGATGTTCTATTTGAATAAAACAATATACCTGGAACACCATCAATGTGAAGATTGCCCAAATTTATGTCATCCATATATGATTGCAAAGATTTTTTTTTTAAGTAAAAACTTTTTTGTAGGATTTCAATTTTTTAGTACTATTGATTTTTATTGTTTCCATGGAGACCAAAAAAAAGTAGACAAAAGATTGTCAATATACGGATATAGTGATTCATGCATACACACACAGGAATATATATTTATATATATACATTTGTATATATATATATATATATATATATATTTCTATGTGCATAGTTTTACATATTTATCATCATTCAGCATGCTAACAAATTCAATGATTTCTCTTATCAATTTCACAACTTGTTAATCACATGACTAACTACATAATTTTATTATTTAACTTTTAGACTATTATTTTATTAGTTTGTTTTCCTTGTTTGAATTTAACAAGCTAGATCATGATTTAGATACGGAAATGTGCTAAATATAATAAATAAATAAATAGTTATTTATTGTAATTGTAAGGTAATTATATTTATTGCTTTTTCTAATGACTATTTGACTGCAAATAAATATTTCAATAATATGTTTCAATGTAAAAAAAACTTACTTAATATATGAGATTAAATCTTCAGGGCAATTACCCAGTTAAAAATTCTAGAAATTATAAAAAAAATATATTTATACGTTTTGACGTATTATATTTTATGTAAACTTTAGTGGAATATTTGAAAGAAATAGAATATATAATAACTAAATGTGACTACAATTTTATATCGCGAGTCGAATACATGACAGTCGCTTTTAGGAATCTTGCTTTATACAATTGTACAAAAATAGTAAGTGGTTGATACTTTGTCACTGTATGAGAATTACCAGGCAATTTTAAACAATGTTTCGATGTTTATTCTTCTTTATTTTCCTGATTCACTTCCTTTTTTGCAACTTTTCTCATTTCATACCAACTAAAGTCCACAAGAATAATACAATAATAAGATGATAATCACAATTATCATGTTTATTTATCTATGTTTATCATCTTATTATTCATTCTTTTATACTTATTTATCTATGGTACCCTCCTCTTTTTTTCAAATTTATTTTCTCTGTGATGTATTTGTCACTTTACCTAACTTAGTGGCTGGTGGTTACAAATGTATGATTTCGCTCGAACAAAAAATGTCAAATGAGGTATTTTTTGCAATAGTTTCATTGCGTTTATTGAAGTAATGTATGCAGATTTTGTTAATTTTTAAATGAAATAGTTTTCTTTTAATAGGTTTTTCAATTTCTAAATTGTGATATAAAAATATCATAAAAAGAGGCAAAAATTCAAGAATTGTATTTGGATATCAGGTATTGTGAAAGCTAATAAATACAAAAAAATATTAATAAAGGTGCTACAGTACTTAGAAATAATAAACATATATAATAATTAATAACATTGTATATATAAATATATATATATATATATATATATATATATAAATGATTACAATGCAAATTAATTGAATAATTTATTATAACAATTTTAAATTTAACATTTTTAACAAAAATAATTTAATCTGATTCTTCATAATTCAAACAATCATAATAATCCTCTCTTTCATTGTCACTGTCAGTTTCAGTGTCATTTAATTCTTTAAGAACCCTTGATTTATATCGCGCATATTTTTCTCCATATCTCTGTTTATCATCATCATCAACATCACCTTCAAAAGCAAATCCTTCGCTATCCACGCTATAAATAAATCCTTCTCCTTCATCACTTGAGAGATCTTCGCCTAACAATAGTATTCAATAAAATATGTTAAAAATGATGAATAAATATGAATAAAAATCGGAATTTAAATCAATATTTAAAAATAAATAGATATCTATACAGATGACACATGATTAGTTAATACAAACCTAAAGACAGATCTCCAATGGCTTTTCTCATAACGCCTACATTTATGCTATTATCGGAATCAGGATAATCATTTCTGTAGTTATTCTCATCATTTGAGTCATCTGTGTCATAATCATCTGAACTCTTGTAACCACCTTCCCGAAATGTTCCAAATACTAAATCATCAGTGGCCTCATGAATACTGTTTCAAATTTGAACATTATATTCAAAATTATCAAAAAATTAATGCATGCATGCATATATATATATATATATATATATATATATATATATATATATATATATTAAAGTATGTGAATTTGATGTTGATATATATTTTGATGAGTTATTTTGATTTGGGCAGTAACACCAAGTAAAAAAAACTTTTATATATATATATATATAAAATATCAGTTTCAAAAATACCTGAGCATGTTATCCAAAATCATATCATCAACTTCATCCATATAATATAAATCATATACATAATTAGTGGTTAACTTTGTTTCAGATTCTAATAAAAAAATATTATTTGCTTCCATTTTTTGTTCAATATCCACCACTGTTAGTTGATTTTTCTCTCCATTCGAAGCTTCTTTAGAATCATCTAATGTTCGAAAACAATTTATTACTTTAAATCTATTATTTTGAGCTTGCAATTTTTGTTCATTTCGAAGTTTGGTAGTAATATTTGGGATATGTCTTTTAAATGTTTTCTTTGCTTCTTCTTTAGTAATCTTAGATAAGTGTGCAGATATATTTTCATTCTGTGGGAATACACAGAACATTATGATTTTTTTTTACATGAATAAAAATTATAATGTTTATGAATTTATAAATAATGTTATTGGTAAGTAATACCTCATTTTTGAGCGTAGTAGCTAATTTGATAAGCGCTGATACCGAGGTTTCGCTGTCTGTGTCATCAGTCTTCCTTCTTTTACAATTAATAACCAGACTATCCACAGGTTCATCAAATATTCTTCGTTTAACTCGAATTACAGCAGCCATTTCAACTTTTTTAGTATCAAGAAATTGAGGGTTGAATTAATTGAATTGCTACAATGGCTAAATTGCTTTGAAATTTTGTGTTAAATATTTTCAATTCAACAAAACAGCTATAAAAAACATTTTCACATTTTTCACAAAAGAAGAGTTTTAACGAGTTTAAACATAGCGAAGAATCGCCAGAAAGTATACTTTTTCAATTTTATTTTGTGCACATTTATCATTTATTATATATATACAACAATGATGTAAAAGTAAAAGCAACTAAAATCAGTGAGTAAATCTGACATTTCTCTAAAACACTTTCTGTAGCGATGTGAAGTTTCCGTCAATACCAGAGAGCAGAGATTCAGATGTCAAAAGCAGCAATTTTAGCAAATAGCAAGGGTTAACACAGAACGTTAACCACTTAGATTTAAAATTGGTTATCACAAGATTTTAAATTTATGTATAGCATAGTATTACAGTGTGTATATATTTACTTGCGTTCTTTTATATACCAATAACTTTATAATGTTTGTGATGTGTATGTGTGTGTGTGTTTCGACATATATCTAGTATGGTATTTTCACATTTTTAAAAATAAATTTTTAAATTTTCTATATTTTAAAAATTGGTTTTAATTTATTATGAACACCATTTAAGCTGTTTGAAGAATATTTTTATAATTAACAATTGTATACATAATTTTGATTTGTGTAGTTTATTATATTATGATCGCAGTAAATTTAGATTTGAAACTTGTTTGATAAATGAAAATTTTGTTTAAAGTTTTGTTTCATTGTAAAACTTATACTAACTGCTCAAATCAATATGTAATCACATAGATTACTGTACTAAATTTTTTATAAAATTAGTCTTAAGTAGTTATAAAATAATTAATTATTAAAATACACTTGTAAAAATTGTAATGATCAATTAAAATAATCATAAAATGTAAAAAGTAGTATTTATTATATCTTATTCATTTAATTGTTTTTCAACTTTGCAAAGGAGTGGTTTGTTTTCACTAGATAATTCAAATTGCTCATTTTGTGTTTTCTCACAGAATGTCATTTGATTTTGATTATTTAAAATAAAGGAAATTTAAAGAAAAATGTAATATTGGCTTCACGTGTTCAGGAATGTAAAACTAAATTTTCTATCAAAATTTAAAAGCACTTCAAAATTATTCATGTATATGAGTGATATATAAATAAAACAGTGAAAATTTGTCTGTATATTTAAAAATGTGAAAATATTTAACAAATTTTATACTTGAGAAAGGAAAAGCAAACAAGTGTACTGTAAAACACAGGTTAGTGAAAAAAAATACAAAATTACACCAAATTTATTTATTTCAATAAACAACAACTAATTCATTGCAGTGTAAATTTTTAGAGAGTTTACTAAAAGAATGGAATATCGTTATTTAATTTATAAAACCCTTAATGTTAAAATTGAAGATTCAAATAAACGTCGTTTCGATTTCAAAACAGAAGAGGCGTTCGAGTTCCTGAAACGCCATCTTCGACCGAGCGAACGTGCACGCTCTGCAGTCGCACGTCTACAAGTCTTTTGCACATCTATGCTTTGCGACTATAGGAGTTCGGAGAGGGAGTTGTCATTGCGAGTGAGAGTTCATTTCCATCGTGGCGATTGCTGGAAGAAGACATCGAGACGTCGTCGAACACGGACGAGCGGGCCTGACCCTTCGCTGCCTGTGGAGTACATGCGACCTGCGAGCGTCACCTGGTACGTTGCACTTGTGCTAATTATATTTCTCTTTGCGGATTCACTCGGATTGCATTTCGTGTTTTAAGATGTTTTAGATTTAATTGAAACCTTTCCTCATTTTTGTTTTTTTTTTTGAAAACGTGTGCTCGATTTATGTAGTTTTTGCTCAAGTCGTACTACTGTCTAAGACGTACGCCGGATATATTTTATCTAATTATTTTATTTTGCATCATTTGGTGCCCACTGTTAAATAAAACTACATATTATTATTTTGTTGACTGAGCAAGAGTTTACAATTGAATGGCAGAAATAATCGAAAGTAATAGTAAAAAGTTGTGAAAGTAAAAAATAATGACCTTTAATTCATTTTGAGAATCTCACTATGAGTACATTTATACGGATCGTTTAATTTCAAGTCTTATTTACATCATTATCATCTGCTAATTCACTTCAATTTATAGATCAGAAGTATTGTGTAAATTGGACCACAATCATCATGTCATCAAGAATTTTAAAGCAAAATTACTTTTCCATAAATTCAATAATAATTTGTGTATTTTGCAGGTGCGGGTAGGTTTGCGTTTGCTGCTACCAGAATCCTTCAGTTTTTTATACGAACATTGTTACTGTGACGCTCTGAATGTGGTATTTATTGGAATTGCATTTGGCACGAATAGATTTATTAAGCGGTGATTTTGTTCAAGATATTAATTGATCAATACTTTAGTTGTCACTATAACTTTTAGAAATTTACAAAGTCATTAAGGCATTGAATTTCATGATTCGAATGATCACGATATGTCTTGCATGTGGGTTAATTTATTAGTTAGGTAGCATCAGTAGTTTTAATATTAATAATAACAAATACTAATACACTAATCTATTCAACTATTGAAAAATAATGTGGTCGTTTGAATCATTTGAGATTATGCAATGTGGATTTGACATATTACATTAAATTTTAATTTTCACTGTTTTCACTTCATATTAATGCATTTCATATAAAACCAAGTGCAATTCTTAAACTGCTAGTAAATTTCTACATTCTATTTCTGGTCATCAAGATGAAATCACATGGAAGCCACAAGATATCATATCAAGCAAATTGTTGAGTATCAAATGGCCAAGTATCGAGTGAAAATTGAACACTGACTCACTTCACTGGGAATCGCTCTGAAAATAATTCAAAAAGTACGTTTTTATTCATAATCAGTATAAATGTGAACATTAAATAATATGTTTATTTTTTCCAGGTACTTTCAACCACTGCTGCTCTGCACACTGACCCCTTCACCAGAAATCGCTCTGAAAATATTTTAAAAAGTACGTTTTTATCCATAATCAGTATAAATGTGAACAATAAATAACATGTTTATTTTTTTCCAGGTACTTTCAACCACTGCTGCTCTGCACACTGACCCCTTCACCAGGAATCGCTCTGAAAATAATTTAAAAAGTACGTTTTTATCCATAATCAGTATAAATGTGAACAATAAATAACATGTTTATTTTTTTCCGGGTACTTTCAACCACTGCTGCTCTGCACACTGACCCCTTCACCAGGAATCGCTCTGAAAATAATTTAAAAAGTACGTTTTTATCAACAATCAGTATAAATGTGAACATTAAATATGTTTATTTTTTTCAGGTTTTTTCAACTACTGCTGCTCTGCACACTGACCCCTTCACCAGGAATCGCTCTGAAAATAATTTAAAAAGTACCTTTTTATCCATAATCAGTATAAATGTGAACAATAAATAATGTTTATTTTTTTCCAGGCACTTTCAACCACTGCTGCTCTGCACGCTGACTCACTTCACCAGGAATCTTTCCAGAAACATGTTACCAGGTATATGTCTTTAACCATATCAGTATAAATGCAAACATTCCTATAATGTTTCTTTCTTTTTTGCAGATCTTCTCGATCCAACTATTACTGCCCTGAAGCCTTAAAATCATTCACGTGAATGACTCGCAAGTGGTTTTTTTCAATGACTGTCTATAATTATGCATGATTAACTTAACTCTTATTAACTCAATAACATGACTAACCTCACTAACTTAATTAGGCAGTTAATATAAAAACCACTTGTTGAGTTTTACTATGAAGGTCTTAATGGGGTTACGTGGAAGACACCGCTGCATGATTAATCAGGTAATTTATTCTTTATAGTATATTTTATGAACCTTGTTACTAATTCATTGTTTTCGTTTATAGGGTAACCAACTTCAAGCCAAGTGCTCTTCAACGCTCAAGTTGCTCATGAGTGAGAACAATCATTTGATCTACTAATTATGCTGTCCGTCCGTCCGTCCGTCCGTCTCTTCACCAGAGAAGATGCCTACTATGATTTATTAAATAGTTAAGTGCTTAGATGTTAATGAAATAATGAATAAATATATTGTATTTAATTTAATTTGTTTTAATTTAATTATGAGCCACTTTACGGCCAAATCACATTATGCTGTAACGTAAATTACAGAAATATTTAAACATGTCTACATTTTAAAAATTTCTTGTGTTATTAATAGGGATACTTATTGAGTGCACTCTTTAGTGTAGTCAATTGTGTAGAACAGTTTCTTCACTGTTTGGATGCTTTCAAACATCTTGCCGCATCTTGGTTAAGCTCTTTATACCTTTGCTTTGACTCGGTAGAACTCTGCGTCATTGCTTTGACTCAATAAAAACGCGTTGACAATACTTTGCTTTTTTCCAAACCCTTATGTTAGTCAAGTGCCTTAAACATTTAATGTGTCAAACCGATGTTTTCTCTTGTTTAAATATTATACTTTCTATTATTTCTTTAAATGGTGCACTTTTTTTCTTAATGTTAGCTATAAATATCACTTAATTTAATATCATACTGTGTTTTATTATTATACTATATATATATATATATATATATATATATATATATATATATATATATGAGTGAGTTCTTGAGGGCGATATATCAAACAAAGAAAAGCTAAAGATTTATAAAATAATCTTTATTTCCAAACGTTTCGACATTCAATTTAATGTCATCATCAGTGGATCTAAAAACAGTATGAAAATTAGTATATCTAGGTAATTATAATATATGTGGATTGGTAAAGTAACTATACAATAAGAGGAAAATTAACAAACAGCAACACTTAACAACAAACCAAATATAAAAGATAGGAAAGGTAGTAGAGACTAGAATTAAATAATTAAAAAATATAGGCAAAAATATCTAACATGTACATGTGTATAGCTATAGTTACATAGATAGGTATGAGTATATGTATGTTTCATACATGTACATGTATGTCGTTGTGAATATGCATGCACGTTGCATATATGTATATGCGTATATTTATATTTGTATAGTCGTACATGTATATGTGTACATATATAGGTATATATTGTTGTATCTGTATATCATGTGTGTGTATATGTATATATGCATGTATATATATATATATATA